GGGCTTCATGGGGGAGCGTGCACAATCACACTCCCTCCTAATCCCTGATTCATGGCACACGTCTCTCGGAGGACCCCAGAGATGCTACCATAGTTCAAAGCGGTAAAAACCGGAAGTCCATGCTTGCAGTTTCTTGTTTTCACGATGCTAAGGGCAATCAGTATGTTCCCGTGGCCTTGAGGGTTTTTAGTCATAACATCAGTGCTAAACTGTTGTATGGGGTTCCAATCTGGATTTTGGCTATTAATAAAGATATAGAAAAAGTCCAATCTAAATTTTTACGGAAAATGTTAGGCCTTCCCCCATGCGTGTCCTATGCAGCCATCTGTTTGGAGACCAATCAGAGTCTTTTGGAAATGAAAGCTTGGATTATGACATTTAGGTTTTGGCTCAGATTACATTTTAGAGCTAATTTCAAACAAATGCTTACCAAGTCCTCATCCTCAGCATGGTTTCTCCATATAGAGAGTAAGATCGTGTGTATAGGAGTTAGTTTTGGAGAGCTTCTTCATTTGTCAGAAAGTTCAGCCTTTCGTTTGATTAAACAAAGACTCCTCGACATAGAACGCCAAGAGCTGATTAGCCTGGCTTCAGATAGATGTTCCCCCTTGAAGGTAGGGTTTCCTCCCCAAGGGTTTATAGCAGAATATTTTTATGTTTAACCACTCCTCATTATCAAAGGGCTTTTATGTTAGGCCATTTTAATGTGCTGCCTTTGGCTGTACTGGATGGTAGGTTCTCTAAGACTCCTTATGTGGATGGATTGTGATGTTAATGTGGTGTTAATGAAACTGAGAGTCTGAATCATATCCTTCTGCACTGTATCTTCTATAGTGATGTTTGATCATTATATCTCGGGCCTTTGTTGAGAAACCTAGTAAATCATTCTGATGAATGAAAGATATCTTATTTACTCCCTACTCGCTCCTTAGTGATTATGGAAATGGTGGCCAAATTTTTGTTTTTGTCTTCTAAGAGGAGGGAATATATCATTAAGTGCGTATGACTTTTGTATTTCCTTGCCTGTCAGTTTTAATACGATATGCCAATAAAGGTTTGATTAATTGATTTATCTTTACAGGGTTGTAATATAAGTCTTTTAGCAGCAGTAAGGGAATGGAGAGTTCATTTTTGTTGACCATCATTTAGTCTTCAGGAGACAGGCAAATAATTTTAAAGTGCATGAGTATCATCAAAATCAATGAATATTCTAATACAGAATCAATGAATATTCTAATACAAAACTGATATGAGTAATTGCTTCCTCCCCAAAAGACTAAATCACTGGACAATCCTAAAACATTTCTTTAAGAGACGTGCCATGTGAGTTACAACACCAGCAATTAGATACTTCACTTAGTCCTTTACGAAAAAAGATGCTGTGTTGTCCAGTATATCCTAAACATTTTTTTTTGCAGAATAAGTTACAGCTTGAAGTCCATAGAACAACAAATACAAGATTTATGGTTTGGTACAATAAAATGATCTAGTGCCTTACTACATTGTGATGTAACCAATGAAAGTGCTCTAAAGTTTCCTTTCTGTTCAATGCAGCTCCACTACCAAAAAGACAGAAATGTGATCATTGGTCTCCTTGTCCACCTGGGAGTTACGCTTATCGTTTACTCAGTGGTGGGGGCAAAGAGAAGATGGCAAAGATCTGCTTTGAAGATGAACAGTAAGCACCAAATCTGTGTCAAAGTCTGCCTTTACCTTTCAGCCTAGCTGAGCATGTGCTGATCTTTAAGGATTCCTGGGGTTGGAGTTCTGTGAATGATTGGAGAGGTTCAACAGAATTAGTTTAATTTATAGCCACAAGTCAGTGGTAGAGTGCGTGCAATTCACAGGCTTATCACATTGTTATCATGCCCTTCCTCCAAGGAGTTCAGGGCATTGTATACGGATTTCTTCTCATAACAGCCCTTTGAGATAGGTTAGGCTGAGAAAGCATGACTGGCTGATGGTCACCCAGTGGCCAAGGAGGGATTTGAACCCAGGTCTCACTGGTCCAGTACTGTTAATGGCTACACCACACTGGCTTTCAGTCAATTTCCAATAAGTTCCTAGCATCTCTAGTTACAAGGATCTTAGATGGCAGAACTGAGAAAGACTCTTGCCTGTGCTATTGGAGACCATCTTTTGATCAGACAATACTGGCTAGGGGTGGCCAAACTTGCTTAATGTAGGAGCCACATAGAATAAATGTCAGATGTTTGAGAGCCACAAGTTGTAAACAAATATTACACACATGTTTTTATTGGAAAACATGAAAATTTGCTTTTTATTAACATTAAATGAGACTGCCAAAAAACAAAAGGGGTAAAACAGATATTAATAATTATATTTATTTGTCTAAGAGAGAGAGAATGAAAAAGGTTGAGAGAAAGAGAGAAACAAAACAAAAAAAGCAAATAGGGCTGTGGTCACACATGCTAAATAATCCAACTTGGACTGCAACCCACGCTCCCAGCGCGCCGGATCCCTCCTTCTTTTCTCCTGATTTCTACACAGACCAGGAAAGGTATAATTTTGCTCCCCAACTTAATGAGAGCCAGTTTGGAGTAGTGCAGGGGTGGCCAGACTTGCTTAATGTAAGAGCCACATAGAATAAACATCAGTTGTTTGAGAGTCACAAGATATGAACAAATATTACAAGTTTTTATTCGGAAAACATGCAAATTTGTTTTTTTATTAACTTTAAATGAGACTGCCAAAATTATAACAAAAAGGGATAAAAGCAGATATTGATAATGATATTTATTTGTCCAATCATATCTGTTTGCTAATGATATTTAGCTTCCCCAGCTGCCCTGCCGGGAGATGCACAATATGTGTGGAAGAGCCACATGTGGCTCCCAAGCCCCAGTTTGGCCACCCCTGGGCCAGAGGTTCAACACTGTGAAAGGCAGCTTCATAATTTTGAGATCCCTTGCACAACTGCAACTCCCACAGAAAGGCACCAAGTGCCATAAGAGCAAATTTAATTTAAAGCTGATTTACACAATTAGGGCTATTTCTGCACAGATATTTTGCTCCACCTCAGCTTCCTTAATGCAGCTACTTCTGTTTTTTCCTCTGGTTTGCTGTAAACTTACCCAAATCTAGTTCCACACAGTTCTTTTGAAAGATTGTAATCAAAGAACCTTAAAAATCCATGTACGTGGGAAGGTGTGCATTTTTGCAGGTCCTTCCCACATCAGCATCTTTTCCCATGCCTCAGCCCTTCTACTGCCTCCCCCCCCCCCCCCCCGACCCGGCTTACTTTCAGCTTTAAAAATAAATAAATAATTGCTAGATCACTATAGTGTCATGGTGCTCTATGGCAACAATCTGTTGGTTCCCAGCTTTCATTTTTAAACAGTAATGAGTCCCCAGCCCTTGTTGTTGCATTCTGCATTCCTAGTATCAACCAGAACTACACAATGTTGTTGTTGCCACCTCTGCATTCACAGTAGTAACCAGAACTACGCAATGTTGCATTCCAGTCAAACATACCCTCTTCAACACTCATGATCATACTGTGAGCTGATTAGAAATGTGTTCAGGTTGCATTAGACAACTTGGACAGTCGAAGAACAATTTTCCAGCAGCCTTTGATCAGAGGTTGACTCAAAAGTTCTGATCAAGTTCTAGGGTTGCCAAACCCCTTGGTTTGGCAGGGGTCCCCCACTTTTTGGGGGCTTCTACCCACCGGCGGCGAGCTGGCTGCCGGGGGAAGCCCCACCCCCAAGCCACAACACCTGCTCCCACCCCTCTCCCTTCTCTCTTGAGAGAGAGGAGTGACTGTGGGCCAGCCACACGCCCAGTCTCTGCTCAGAGATAGGGCGTGTGAAATGCCGGCTCCCTGCAGTTAAAGGGGCCCTTGTTGGGCAGGCGGGTGGGGGGACATCCCCAATGTGATGTCATCACATCAGGATGCCCCGCCCCCTCCAGGAACGCCCCCCCCAAGTTCCCCACTGGGGGTGAAGATAGGACTTGGCAACCCTATCAAGTTCTGATACACTCCTCTGTATAGCTATAGAGTGAAATTGGAAATAGAAGCCATGTTTTTAATTTCCTCTTTGCAAAAAGAGGAGAAAGAGATCATTTTTCTTCATTTCTCTGCGGCCCAAGCCAACAGATTGGGTTGGAGAGAAGAGATGGGAAATTAGCTGAGCTTCTGATTAACCCACCCCACTCTGCTAAAGATGTTGCAACTCAGCAAGTCTGGGGACACAGCAGCATTTCCAAGCTGGGCGATCCTGACTTTCAGTTGATCAGCTTGGAGTCAGTTTCCCCCTCCCAAAAAAATAGTTTTTGTGATACAGAGTAAAATTTCCCAGCAGATTAGAAGCTGATTCCCAACTGATCCCTCATCAGGTGGGAGGTGGTGTCTGATGGGTATAAATAGCCTGTTCTTGTGAATAGATCCAAGTTACTAATTCTAACACATCCAAAGAACAGCATGGACATAATATGCTGTGGACATTCCACTGTCGCTCTCCATGACATCACTTGCATTACTTATTAGTCCCATATCAGATTGGTGATTATGCTATCCCTTCTACCTAAAGAGGAGATGTATAAGTAAGAAGTTTAATTTTGGTTTTGATTCAACCTATGTAGTAAACCTAGGCCCCGGCCACACGGGGGGGGGGAAAAGCACTGGCAAAGTGCGGCTTTTTAAAGCCGCACCAAAAGAGACACGTAGCAGCGGGATCACATAGATCCCCGAGCTGCCGTGCACTTCCTCCCCGGCACGATCAGATGCCGGGGGGAAGCCACTGAAAAGGGAGCGAGGCAGCCGAACTGCACATGTGCAGTTCGGCCGGGAGCCTGGATTGCTCCGGATGACGGGCATGGCAGTGATCCCACGGCCGCGCTTGATGAAACGTTCCTGGTAAGTCCTCCTCTGGGGGTGTTTTTTTTTACTGCGGGTTTTCGGCCTGAAGGGCTGGATCGGGGATGGGTGCGCGCCGCTTCCCAGATGTTGCGGTGAGATTGCACCTGTTTGCTGCACCCCCGATCAGCCAAAACCTTCCGTGTGACCGGGGCCCTAGTTAGGTAAATTCATAGCTTCATTTTCTGTGTGGATTTTTATATGTGTTTATGGTTTTATCCCTATTCCTATTTACAATTCAACAAAATGTAAATGTATTTCACACAATTATTAGGGTTAATCACTTGACAGATTGCAGTTTTGAAATTGCCATTTTTGCCTAATATTGTATTAGCAGTGGCCAATTGTTATTAAACAAAACAATGAGTCTTTAGGAATAGAAAATTTCCACAGAAAAATAAAGCGCACAAAATGTTCACCTCCACAAGAAGGTTACACTCCAGATGGGAATGGATAGAGTAGGGTCAGTGACCCTGAACTTCCTTGGGGGTCTCCCATCCAAATACTGGTAGGGTTGCCAGCTCCAGATTGTGAAATACCTGGAGATTTGGGGGCACAGCCTGGAGAGGGCAGGGTTTGGAGAGGGGAGGGACCTTGGCAGGGTCTATTTACATAGAACCCACCCTCCAAAGCAGCTGTTTTCTCCAGGGGAACTGATCTCTGTCACCTGGAGGCTGGCAACCCTATGCTTCACCATGCTTAAATAATCAGGAGTGTATGCACATTGGCTTTCCATGACCAATCCTTCTCAGTGCTTATTGGATTCTTCTCCAACTTCACAGCAGGCAGGTCATCCCTTGGGGAAGGATTGCAACACTGCAATCCAATGTCTAATCCATTATATGTAAAGGCTGGGGAAGAAGTGATTGGTGCAACTGTGTTCTCTCCTTTCAGTGTTGTAGTTGTGGTGTCTATGATCTCTGTATTCTGCTTCCTAGAGCTTTTGAGAGCCATTTCTGTTAAGGTACCTATGCCCTATTTAAAAACAGCAGCAAATGTCTTCCTTGAAGAGACCTTTCTGAGGTACTTCTCAGTGATTATATTCTGTATTGTCATTTCAGGCTCATAAGTGAAGAAAAGAAAAATGCAGGGAGAGGCATCAATATTGCCATTGTAGATTGTGAGTAAAAAGGCACAACTCTGTACAATAAACAGTTGTGATGAATATTAAACTAGAGAAGAGCAGCAGCCAGAAACCCGGTCATGAAGCAGGAAGTCCTGGGTAGAAATCTTACTTTTACATGAACCTGCTAGGTGGGAAGAGTATTCAAAGTAGGAAGAGTATTCAAAGTGTTGTATTATAAGTATTAGTATAACTACCACTACTGCTGCTACCTTACAGTGTGTTAGAATGGTTTTGGGGACTCATTCTGATCCACTAGTATGTGTTTTTTTTAATATCCTGTTTTATATACTTTACTCAACAGTTGCTTTAGGCCTCATTTAGATATCATGATGAACCTCTGTCTGTTTATGATGTGCTCAGACATGGCTTGTTCCTTCCCCACAAATGGAGATTCTAACCCAGTTCAGTCCTGGTTTAGAATCCTTGTTTGTGTGGAGGAAACCATTTGACCAGGCAGCATTCAGATGTGGGAGCAAACTGAAACTTGAACTAGAAAACTTTTAATCATATCTATGCATATGTGGTGAGGAAGGAGGGAGCAGAAGCATGTAAGCATTTGTGCCTGCTGTGAACAAGAGGAGGTTTGTTGTGACATCAGAATGCAGCCTTATAGTGGTTTTAAGTGTAACTATTCACTGCTGTCAGTTGTAAGCTGCTCTGATCATAGGATAGAATGTAAATGTAATAAAAAATAATAATAATGGGTATAATATTCCAGTCATTTTGTGTGATCTTGGGAAACCTTTGTACAATGGAGAACTATTAAGGTATACAGAGAACTGTTAAGGTATATAGTTATCTTTCCTTATATATAATTGAGTAGTGAGGTGGCACTTTCTGAACATTCCACATGCTCCTAAATCAGTTGGCTCCATGATGTGTCACTCAGAAGCTGTCCCTATCCACTGGCTGCATTGCCTGAGTCCCGCCCACAGTGCGCTCCATCAGCCATTGGCCTGTAAGCCACAACTCAAGAGTACTCGTGTGCCATTGGCCAGGTGCTGGGTCTGCTCCTCTTCCCCACCCACTCCAGCCACTGTTCCCTGTCAGAATATGCTCTCTCTCCTGAGGAAGACACTTCACCTGCTTGGCTCCTCTGTGGGACTAATTTTTCCCTCAGTGGCTGTTGGTAGGCAACCAAGCTTGGTACTGTCAGTAAAAAGACAAAGGAATGAAACCCTTTCCATGCCTTTGTGAGGAACTCATTGGGGCCAGTCCTGACTAGGGTTGCCAGCTACAGGTTGGGATTTTTCCTGCTGAGTTCTTCTGCCCCCCCAAAGCTGCCCTCCACAGGATCCATCCCCCAAATCTCCAGGTATTTCCCTACTCAGAGCTGGAACCCTACTTTCCCCTCAGTGCTAGGCAACCAAGCTTGGTTCTGTCAATATAGTAGCTCCAACCTTTGTTTTTGCCTCATATCTAGCACTACAGCATCCATTTCATATGTATTGTAAAATACTTTCTGTCTTTCTGCTAACTTTTTAAAACAAAAAAGTAAGATTAAAATGACTGTCTTAGACTTTGGATCAAGATTGAACATTGGGACAAACAGTTGGGAAACTTATACTTTTATGTGGGAAAGTCACTCACAGGTGATCTTTATCATGTCATATTTAATATGAATGTGCCCTCATGTGGTGAGATCTGGTGTTTACATTAAGGCCTTCTTCAGCTAAATATCAGCAAGGAACTCTCTCTTTGAAATAAACAAAAAATAGCAGGCAGGGGGAAACTGGGAATATTGAGAATGGTGATCACTACAGGATGTGGATTAAACTGGGAAAATGGCAGAGGGAATTCCCACTTGACTTGAGCCCTTGCCCACTAGCATATGCCATATTTCACTGTGAGCCCAGCCTCATGAAAGTGAAAGAAAACAGGCTATGTCAGTTAGGAACTCAGAAAAGACTGTTGTGTTTCCTATTTTGAAAAGGCTTGTCAATATATAGAAAAGCCCTCAGAAAAAGGATAGATTGAGTCTTGTTAGGGTTCTCAACCTCCAGGTGGAGCCTGGAGATCTCCTGATATTACAGCTGATCTCCAGGCTATGTAGACCAGTTCCCCTGAACAAATGGCTTCTTCGGAGGACGGACTCTGTGTCATTATACCCTACTGAAGTCACTGCCCTCCCCAAATCTTGCCCTCCCCAGGCTCCACTCCCGAAATCTCCAGGTGTTTCCCAACCCAGAGGTGGCAATTCTAACAGCTGCGCAAGCACATCGCAGCCCTCTGGATTCTAAACTAAATGCTGAAACTGTTTTTTCTGTTTATTTTATAGTCTTTGCTCTCATGTTTAATTCATTTTCTTACTTGTAGATGACACAGGAAAGTGTACGGATGCAAAATATTTTGACATGTGGGAAGGAGGTAAGGGGGTATTCACTATCACAGGGTTGTTGACGATCAACCTGGAAATACACAGTTGTGGAATACCATTCCTATTGGGGGCAATGTCCACAGCCGGGGCTTCTCCTGACAGGGACTTCCTTGACAATTAGCATCACAAGTGCTTTCTGTGGCTTAGATCCGGAGATGCTCAAGCAGAGGCATTAGCACATTTCCGCTTGCATATGCAACATCTAGCACAGTCATCCCTATATATTATAGTGCGCAGAATCTGGTTGCACAAAGATCTTGCGCAAGTGAAAATGCAGTGGAGATACAATAAATTTGACTTAGCACAAGTGGCTACTGCAGGCTTTTTCTTAGGCTTCTGCTTGTGCAAGAGGTCTAGTGGAAATAGAATTGTGTGCTGGATCCTGCTCTTTATCTTCAGCAGAAGAGGTACCTTGTTAGAAAAAAGCATGAAATTCCTCAGCTTCACTCTTCTAAATAAAAAAGCTAAGAACTGGGAATAAATTTTGAGAGAGACTATTGTACATTTTTGTAGGATGTACTTTTAGAGAGTTTTTCCCCCCTTTTACCCTCAGAATTTTCTGGAGATATGACAGATTTCATTAAAAAAGCTCCTCAAGGATCGCTGCTCCTGATGGTGACTCATGATGATGGAAGCACCAAGTAAGCACACACACTCATGTCCCTCAGTTCTTAATGCAAGTTTATGGTTTGGACATTAGCTTTGCCAATTGTAGAAATACTCTAATAAAGCCAGTGTAGGTATCATGAAATTTAGTTGGCACTCTGCCACACTGAGAAATGCTGCCCATTCAGCACTTAACAATATCTCTTGAGGGAATTTGGTATTTGAGTTATTTCCGTTCTAGGATGCTTTTGTGCTGCTCACTCAATCATCCTCTCAATTGTCTGCAAATGAAATTAAAATGGTATCCTAACCAGCACTTACTAATATAGCATTACATTCGCTGTAGAAATTCTGCAGTGCCTGTCATCACAGGCAAGATCTTACCATATCTGCGGGACTGCCTCTCCTGGCATACCCCCCAAAGAGCATTACAGTTTTCTAATAACAACACATTGGAGATCCTGGGACCAAGGAGTATTTGCCTGGCTTTGATCAGAAACAGAGCCTTTTCAGTGGTGGTTCCAGCTTGGTGGAATGCACTCCCAACTGAGATCCAGGCCCTGCAGGATTTGGTACAATTCCACATGGCCTGTAAGATGGAGATGTACCATCAAGCATCTGGATGAGGTCAGGGGAACTCCCATCTATGCAGTTCTGCTACTTTGACCCAGGCCCGTAGCCAGGATTTTTAAAGTTGGGGGGGGCATTTAAATTTCTTAGGGGGTACTGGCTAATCGAATTAAAGGAATAGCCGGCTCCTTTCCCGCACCTGCTGCCACGGGGGCCCTGGGCTGGATGAGAAGTCATGGGGCCTTTCCAGTAAGTCAGGGGGGCTAGCCCCAAGATGCCCCACTGTAGCTACAGGCCTGCCTTGCCCCCTCCCTCTCTCTCCTTGGGGCACCAGTATAGTAAAAGCATGTGCCATCAAGGGAATTGTATTGTTGGAATTGTTTTAACTGAACTGTTTTAATCTGATATATGTTTTATTTATATGTTGGAACCTGCTCTGAGCCCCACTTTAGTGGGGGAGAGTGGGATACAAATCAAAAGAATAATAAGAAATGATAGTTTTATATGGAAAATAAGTACAGTGTAGCAGAGTAGCAGATGCAACGAACATGAAGTTGAGCAAACTTCAGAGGATGGCGGAAGACCGGAAGGCCTGGAGGGAGCTGGTCCATGGGGTCGCAAAGAGTCGGACTCGACTGTGCGACTGAACAACAACAACAACAAGCAGAGTTTACACTCCTCTCTGCAAACGTCCGTATACATTTTGCCTCATTTTAGCCACTTTCTTGGCTCAATAAGTTACTTCCTTTTCACTCATGACGACAACAGCATTCCTGAATTAATCCTTTATTATGTTCCCTGGAAGAGGAATGAGCAATTGCTCATTTTAATTTTTTTTTAATCATCCAAATTGTGAAAAATAAAAGGGAAAAAGCAAATAAGCAATCAATTTAGTTACAAAGCAAAAAAGCAATAGTTAAGGTGTGGTTCCCTGCCAAGAACCACAAACTGGTAATTAAGACTGATAATGTGTGTGTACACACACACACACACACACACACACACAAATGTTTTTGGAGGCAGGAACATCTTTACTCACTGACATTGGGTTGGATCATAGAATATCCAGTAGAAGCTGTGCTTACAGAATCGATCTTTCCATTTCTCCCTCCCCAGTTTTTGGAGGGCCTTGCAGTATCCACAAATCTGCTCCTGAGGGTTGGGGGAACGCTTGAGAATAGCGGTGGATGTATGGCAATGGATGCAACTTGTGCAGAAATCAGGAGGGGCTTGGTGGTAGAATATCTGCTTTGAAGCAGAAGGACCCCATCTCAGTCCTCAGCATCTCCATTTAAAAGGACCAGATATTAGGTGATGTGAAAGACATCTGCCTGAAACTCTGGAGAGCCTCTGCCAGAGTACGCAATATCGACCTTGATAGATGAATGGCAGCTTCATGTGTTTCAAACGTTGTGTTCCCCACCTTGCATGAGTGATAGTTTTGGAACCATAGAATCCTGAGATAATAGATCGCCTACAGGTTGTTTATGATCTTATGTTTAAATTAAACAAGTTCTGCTTTTTAGTGTATCCAAGCTGTGCTGACCTAAGTTCTCTAGACCACCATGTTACACAGGTGATGGGTAGCAGGTGACACAATGGAATTCGTTTCTTAATGTGTTCGAGCACATGAATGTTTCACTAATCCAAGTAGTTCTCCTCACACATCCCATTCCTCCAGCAGCTTTGTGTGACTTCAGAAATGGCCTAGGTGGGGGATTCTTGCAGAAGAAAACATTGTGGTTTGGGAGGGGGCTACAATGAGAATTGGGCAAAATTCCACCAGTGGAAGGCCCATCAGATCCAACCCAATCTCTTTATTGACATTTACTGAGAGAATATTGTTTGAGTAAGAATATGTTTTCTATAACTTTTTGGCTTTCTGGAAAGCTGAGTACTAAAAAGTGCAAAGTTAAAATATCTCTGTATATCTCCCATACAGATTAAAGGAGAACGCAAAAAAGGCAATAGCAGACCTCGGCAGTAAAGACATCCAAAACATACGATTCCGGTCAAGCTGGGTCTTCATGGCTGCAAAAGGTTTCAAGCTGCCAGATAACCTAGAAAAAGAAAAGGTCATACTTTTGAGAGCTTCTTAATTTCCACTTGACATGTTTGATTCCAATGTGTAACTATTGTAAGATTGTAAGGTTGCCAGCTTACACACCCACACCCAGAACTAATATCTTTAACTGTAGCCTGATATTTAACTATTTAGAACATAAGCCTTTTCCCCTGCACAGCCACGGAAGTTATATCTCCTCTCTAAATTTGTCTGTCAGGCTATAACTTAGACCTCCTTATTGGTCCTTATTTTTCTGCTCCAAGGAAAGCTCTTTAAGAACTTCCTGTTCAAAGGCAGTATATAAATATATTTATAAATATGAGATGAAGCTAAAATGGAATCCCAGCAAAACTGATGAGCCTGGCTGACAATCCAGGGAGTGGAAGGAGAAAACACTAAAGGGGCATCTGAATATTTCTGCTTCACTATTGTAGCCCTCTGCAAGCTTGAACAGGAAAGAATGCAATTCACAGTGACTGTAAGCACCTTAAACATTGTTTGTGGAATATGGAGCCTAGAAATAAATTTAATGAATAAATAATTTCCATGCAACGTTGCTAGTGAGACAGTTATGAATTTTATACTATCCTGTGTTTTGAAGTGTCCTGCCTGCTCCTTCCACAACCTGCCCTTCCTTTTGCATTGCAAATCAAATCCGTACTTACCAAGTTGGATTACTTTAAAACGGTAAACTCAATTACTCTTTATGTGAATCTTTCAAACAGATCAACCATTCTGACAATAAGATGAACCGATATGGTGGCTGGCCAGCTGAAATCCAGATAGAAGGCTGCCTTCCCCGAAACCTACGCTGAATTTTTAAATTAAGCTATGCTGACAGAGTGGCTCAAATATTTCTACCATGCGTTTCTATAAGGATGCATTTGTCAGAGGCTGCAGTGTCAGTCTTTGGGTGGAAATCCCAATATTTATAATTTTTAAAAAGTCATGTACTGCTGTCAGTTGTTTTCCCATTTATGGGATATGCACCATCAGTGATCTTTTTACAAGTGTTTTATGCTGTGTTTTAAGAAAAACAGCTTAGAACTTGATTCACTAAGTTCACAGAGTTATTGCAAGAAATAAAATACACTATATGTGCATTTGGTTTTAAGTTTTCATTATTCAGCAATACATTTTCAAAGTTAATGTTGCCAGTAAAGAATCCCAGTTGGGTGCTGCCCTCTCCCCTTCACGTAAGCATACTTCAGCCAAAGGTAAGCATCAAAATAGTGGTTATATAACTAACACAGTTTGTACTTTAATGTACATGTATTTATTATTTGAATTTTTCTGGAAACATTAAAAAGGATTTCATATTTAAACACAGTTTGTGTGTTTCTTTTTAAGTGTGACTGCTGTGTGGGAAACTGTAGTTTGCAATATGCAAGTTGTAACAGTCTGTACTTTCTGGCTTGAGTACATTGCTGTGGGCAGGGTGGTCAAGTTCCACATAGGTCTGTTGCATGTATTGTCGATGTGTCTTGAGGGGAATATCAGAATGTTGCTTGGGACCAGTGTTCCCTCTAAGCTGAGTTAGTGTGAGCTAGCTAACAGTTTTTTTAGCCTCCAGCTCACACATTTTTGTCTTAGCTCAGGAAGGATCGCTCCAGAGCAAACTGATTTATGCAGTAGCGAAAACACTTGCTCACAGCTTTAATGCCAGTAGCTCTCAAAGTAGAATTTTTGATCATAAGATTCCACAACTTAGAGGGAGCATTACTTGGGACCTTATTACAAGTTAATAAACTAAGCAAATAATGAAGCCTGCAGTTAAGTAGTATCTGGTTTGATCCTATTTAACCTTCAGATTTTGTTTCTGTCACAAACAGAATCACTCCCTCTGCTAGTAAAATGAATGTCTACATGTAGATATCCAGAAAGAGGGGGAGTCCCCTACCAAACATAAAATAGTTTTTATATGCATTTAAAATGCATTTTAAAAAAACGACATAAAAGAACCTCAGTGGTGGCACTAGAATGATGGAATATGCTACCTGGTTCCATCTTGCTGGTACTTATGTGTCAATACAAAACATTTCTCTTCAGTCAAACTTTAGCAAAGCTTTACAATTCTGTAGTCTTACTGATTATAGAGACTGGTGGGGCCCATGAGAGGGACTTCTTGGCTACCACCCCTGAGTTAATGGCTGATTTAGGTGGCCACACTTGTATCATCCCTCCAGACCTTCCAGATGCAAATTTTAAAAGCCTTGGGATGATATTTGTGAACTGGCACTAATTTTTATGTCTTGTAATGCTGCTGTTTTATTATAATGATTTGTTCTTATACTCTTATGATTAATTATTGTTGTTCTTTCATTTTTTATAATGTAATTCTACTTGGGAATCTTTTTAATGGGGAAAGGTAGCATTAAGATGGCCTAAATTTCAGAACCACATTTTCTCCAGTGGTCCAGGAGTGGGGCAGTCCTTAAGACTCCTTACTCCTGGGAAACAGCTCCTCCTCTCTGAAGGCAGGGCCGGTGAACTCTTTTAGTCCCGGAGGGGAGGGGCTTGCCCCCTGGCTTCCCAGTCTCTCTGGCCCTGCCTTCCAAGAAGGACGTGACCGGTGGTGCTCCTGTGGAGCACATTACTAGATTAGAAAAGAAGGCTGAAGAGTGACAGGAGGGAAGGAAAAGGTAGCCTATGAGCGTTCCTTGTTTCCCTTCCTCCCTTTCCGTTTTTCGCATGAGCGGATTGAGCCAGCATCGATGGACCTGGGAGATCCCCTGGGAACCGCAGTGCTGAGACAGCCCCCTGCAAGGACTCCCAGCTGGGAGAGCCAGGTGAGCAGCCTCCACTCCCAACACTATTGGATCCAGGGGCTTTGCAGGAGAGCGGGGTAGCTGTTGACAACCGGCGGGACAACCGTTGTGGTGCAACAGAGTCCCTACACAGCTGAAGGGATTGGCTCTGCTCTTCTTTTCACAGCAAGAAGATGTCACGGGCCGTTCCCAGAGACTACAGCCTTGGTGGAGCAGTGAGCCCCCCTCCTGGGAAGGGTCTCTTGCTATAGCTCCAGTTGTACACTGAGGAGCCACCCACCCACCCCACCCACAGCCTTAATAGAGGGAGGGTGAGGGGAATGGAGTGCCAGTGAGGGAAGACTGGGAACCCCCAGAAAACTCCCCATGACACTATAAAATGGTGGTCCCTTACACATAGGGCCCACATAGGACACCATGTGTCTTAGAGAGAGTAAAAGGGCGGGAAGGTGGCCATTTTAGTAAACGGAGCTTCTTTCAGTTTCAGATGGTGCATAATATGGATGCTGACCCTGGTACTTCCACTGCTCAGAATATGGATACCCAGTTATACACTCATTTCATCAATCTTCCTCAGGAGTAATCCTATTATATTGGATACAGCTTAACTTCTTTTTTACTTTCTTCAAATTGTTACAGCTTAACTTCTTGTTTACGTTCTTCAAATTATTGCAGCTTAACTTCTTTTTTAATTTCTTAAAATTATCTTCTAGTTCCATTTCAAGTATTTGAATTAGGAGCAAGCCAGTTAATTAATTTCTAGTAGTAGCAACTAGTCCTATCTGGCTAGAAGCCTTCTTTTTTCAAATTGGCTGGTAATTCCTCTCTATCTCATGTTGCTGGCTCAATTGCTCTCTGGTTGTTTATAGGAGTAGCATTTCAGTCTTCTTTTCTATCCAGCTGGAAGAGCATTTGTCAGCCTATTTAAAAATAAGGCTTCCAGCTGGATAGAAAAGAAGACTGAAATGCTACTCCTATAAGAGGATTGGTTGCTACTACTAGAAATTAACTGGCTTGCTCCTAATTCAAATGCTTGAAATAGAACTAGAAGATAATTTGAAAAAATTAAAAAAGAAGTTAAGATGCAATAATTTCAAGAAAGTAAAAAATGAGAAAGTAAAATGAGAAAGGAGTTCAGAGCTATGTGGCAGGAGTTATTGGATAGGGACAGGCACCCTCATACCTCAGGGTGGAAAAGGCACAGTTCAGATCAACTGGAACCCCTTCTCACTGATAAAAGGAATAGGAAGGACCCTAAGGTTCATAGGGATCTTAGTCCTATGTTGAGTGAACAGGAAACTGACTCCAGTTCTGCAGGCTATAGTTCTTTAAAGGAAGAGGGTGAACTCTCAGGAGGAGGAAGAGAAGGTAGTCCCGGTAGTACAGTCCAGACTTTTTCCACAGGAACTGTATAGTAGACTGCTGCCCAAAGTAATTAGAACACTGGAGTTATCTTATACTCCAAAGGAACCAGGGCCAGAGGATTCAGGTTTCCCTATAGGCTCAGACAAAACTATCTTTACAACTAGTACCAGCAGCTTTCTACAATATTATTAAAGCAGAGTGAGAACATCCAGCAAAGCCCAAACCAACTCAACCAGTTTTTACAAGTTCTACACTCTCATTCCAGAGGCAACAAAGCAGCTGAAGCTTCCAATGGTGGATGACCCAGTTAACAGCTTGGCATCTATGGGAGCAGATGGCATGCCAAAGGACCACTGTGACAAACGTATAGAGCAAGCACTCAGGAGAGATTTTGAAGCCTCTGCAAATGCTTTAAGAGCATCAGGCAACCGGCTCTCTCTTTGCTAGAGCCGCATATGCATGGTCCTCTGACCTCGCAAAAGCAAACTGTGGTATACCTAAAGAGCTAAAAGATGAGCTAAAGAAAATAGCCCTGGCTGTAGTGTTTGCTGCAGATGCCACCCTGGACGCAGTACAGCAATCCGCCAGGGGCATGGCGAGCAGTGTTACAGCGAGACGAAATACCTGGCTACATTGCTGGGATGTGAATCGATCAGCACGTACCAAATTGGCAGCAGTTCCTTTTAAAGGTGTGAACCTGTTTGGTGAAGGGCTTGATAGGTACCTTATCAAAGACAAGGACAAGAAGAAAGTTCTCCAAAGAAAAGAGAAGGAAAGTCTAGAAAGCGCTTTCAGTCCTTTCATAAGAACATAAGAGACGCTAATGTTGGATCAGGCCAAAGGCCCATCCAGTCCAACACTCTGTGTCACACAGTGGCCAGAAATACCAGGTGCTATCAGGAGGTCCACCAGTGGGGCGAGCACACTAGAAACCCTTCCACTGTTGACCCCCCCAAGCACCAAGAAGACAGAGCATCACCTGCCCCAGAGTCCCTATCTATACCTTGTGGCTAATAGCCACTGATGGACCTCTGCTCCATATGCTTATCTAATTCCCTTTTGAAGTCGTCCATGCTTGTAGCCGCCACCAATTTGTGTGGCAGTGAATTCCAAGTGTTAATCACTCTTTGGGTGAAGAAGTACTTCCTTTTATCTGTTCTAATCCGACCACTCAGCAATTTCATGGAGTGCCCACGAGTTCTTGTACTGTGAGAAAGGGAGAAAAGTACCTCTTTCTCTACCTGCTCTATCCCATGCATAACCTTATAAACCTCAATCATGTCACCCCTCAGTCGTCGTTTCTCCAAGCTAAAGAGCCCTAAGCGCTTTAACCTTTCCTCATAGGGAAAGGGTTCCAACCCTTTTATCATTCGAGTTGCCCTTTTCTGCACTTTTTCCAAAGCTATAATATCCTTTTTAAGGTGTGGTGACCAGAATTGCACACAGTATTCCAAATGAGGTCACACCATTGATTTATATAGGGGCATTATGATATTGGCTGATCTGTTTTCAATACCCCCTGAACAACTTTGTATCATCTGCAAATTTAGCCACTTCACTGCTTACTCCCAACTCCAAATCATTAATGAACAAGTTAGAAGCATTGGACCAAGTACTGATCCCTGCGGTACCCCACTGCTTACCACCCTCCACTGAGAAAATTGCCCATTCATACTAACTCTCTGTTTTCTTATTTTCGTACTTATACCCCGTTTTCTTATTTTCGTACTTATACCCCGCCCACGGGGGAGGGCGGGGTATAAGTACAAAAATAAAAATAATAAATAAATATTAATTATCCAGTTTTTGATCCATAAAAGGATTTGTCCTTTTATCCCATGATTTTTGAGCTTGCTTAGGAGCCTTTGATGTGGAACTTTATCAAAAGGTTTCTGGAAGTCAAGGTAATACCTTTTGAGACTCCAGAAGGGAGTCCAAAATAAGCTACCTGAGCAGAGAAGAAGACAGCAGCTCAGAGAGGGAGGACAAGAAACCGGAAGACGAAGGAGCAGCTAAAGGTCCATCTTACAACTTGAGAGACGTAAAACAAAGAAATCCCAAGACCTGAGGATTTGTTCGGATTTGTTCGGAGAGTGCATTAACCCAAA